GCAAGCTATTATTCTGGAGCCTCAAGCTCAGCCAGTCTTGGATACTAACTCAGGGATGACCCATGCTCAATACACAACACCCCTCCCCCCTAAGTTCCAAAACACCTTAACACACAGGTTTGCGTCGTTCCCAGGTTGAACGTCAGAACTCTCTCTGAGGAGGCGTGGTCTCTGGACCCTGGTTCAGTGTTGTAGGAACAGCGCGGTCAGGCAGCAGCGCTGGCGTTACTTCTGGGAAGTCCATGGCCGCCTGGTCGGGCGTTGCACTGTCGGGCAGAAACTCCCTCATGGTCTCTGGTTCCAGTGGTTGCGGTGGGCCCACCTTGTTCTCTCCTGCAACTACTGATGGTGGCTCCTGATCTGCAGGAAGGAGACAGCAGCGGAGCTGGTCAATGTGTCTTCAAAGGACCTGTCCATCGTCGGTCGATACCTCATAAGATAGAGGTCCGGGACTCTGATTACCTTGGCCAGAACCCAGGCAGGACCGCTGGAAAAGTTCCTTGTGTAGACAGTCGCCGGGGAAAAAACCTCTGGGCACCTCCTGGCTCTCTGGCGACGGGCGATTCTTGGGAACTCAATGTGGGTGCAGTCTGTCCAGTCGGATGGTTAGGCACCTACCCATGAGGAGTTCTGCTGGGCTGTGGCCTGTGGTGGTGCTCGGGGTCACCCAGTGGTTAAAAAGGAAGGCTGCAGAGTCTGTAGTTCCAGTCACTGTGGATGATAGGCCTGAGAAACTTCTTTGTGGTCCGCACCATCCTCTCCGCTTGTCTGTTGGTGGCCGGGTGAAAGGGTGCGGAGCATACATGACGGATGAAGTAGTGGCCCCAAAACTCTTGGAACTCCCCAAGAGGCTGTTCCATTGTCTGTCACCACCGTGTCGGAAAGGCCGTGTGTGCTGAAGATCCATCTGAGAACTTGGGAAGTGCATGAATGCACCATAATGCCATGGCGAAGCAGGGGAAAAAAACACTTCCCAACACCACTGAATCCAGGGAGATAACCCATGCAGAAATGGGTGGGAGGGAAAAGAGATGTAACTAGATGCAAGGGAAAACAACGTTCTTTTATCTTTCACAGTTCTACAGAAGAACACATTTTGTTTAAGTGTCACTGTTCACTCCTACATGATGAGATGAATCTACATACAGGCCTACACATATAGTACTCCTAACCTCCTTTGCATCTGGTCATCCTAAAGCAAGGAGAGAAAAAACATGTATACATGGTAAACAAAATACTGAAGGAGACCCTGTATTGCAGTATGAAATAATGTAAGGATTCTGGATCTGAAAATGCTGAAACAATTGTATTACACAATCTGAAACCACACATCCTTAGCTCGACTGAAATCCGTGGGGTTAGCACAAGTGAACATAAAATTATAAATACGGTGGAACTACAGTGGAATGATTGTTAAATGGCATACATTTGTCTTCTTAACATTTTGTTATCCTTCCAGCATTCCTCTTGCTCATAATGCCCATGCACATTACTTGCTAGCTGTAAAGCCTTGAAAAGTCCTCACAAAACTATGCAGTTAAGTCTTATAAAATACAAGAGGAAAGCCAAAAATATTCATGGTCATGCTCACACCCACAAATACGATGGATTATCTTATCCATTGTCAAGAGCCCTAAAGTTTCATTAGCACATTCTAATAAAAGGCTTTTCAAAGGCACACATTTCTTTCATCTAGATGCAAAACTGAAAGTCAGCAGGAGACTGAAAACTTCAAGAAAGCAAAGTGACATTTTCAGGTATTAATGACTGGTACTATGATGTAGATAAATTAAATGAGCACAAACAGATTTCAGAGTAATATTTCACCATGAAATAAAGCATATATCAAACATATTTATCAGACTGTTGGTATTGGATATGTTGGCCACAGAATAAAATTAATTTCTTGTTTCTTAATTTTTAAAACATCAGCTTGCTGTATTAGTTATGCAAACCTATCCAATATATATAATGTGTATTTGTACCTTCCTCTTTATTTTTCCACACACACCCCTGGTCGCCTTAACCTCATATCTCAGCTGCTGGAAGATATAGTGCAATAGGACATAGGAAGTAAATGGGAGTAGACTACGCCAGGGCCTAGCAAGTTATGCTTGTTTAAACAGTACATTGGACCTTACCTGAAGGTTCTTTCTCTTCAGTGGGGGAGAAGTCATCCAGGAAGTGGTTAGGTCACGCCTCTGCTTGCTTGGATAGGCTATGCAAATGTCTTTATTGAATGGCTCCTATTGGAGGGACCTAGGCTGACCTCTCCAGTTATGTCCAAGCCCTGTGCGTTATTCGATTTTGTTCTTGATCTCCTTTTCTCTCTGTGTATTCATTAAGTTGAGCATTCACTCTTTGTTCTACGTGCCACCCTTGGCTTGATTTGAGTTAGTAGTTCTCCGTCCTAGGATGGGATGTGGATGACTTCTCCCCCACTGAAGAGAAAGACCCTTCAGGTAAGGTCCAATGTACCATTCTCCTTCAGTGGGGGGAAGTCATCCAGGAAGTGGTTAGCAGTACCCAAGCTGCTCTTCTAGGGTGGGTGATTTATATTTCCAAAACTTGTTGTAATACTCATATGACGAAGGCTACGTCAGCGGACACTTCCTGACCCATCCTGTAATGCCTCACAAATGTGGACAGGGAGGCCCAGGTACCTGCTCTGCAGATTCCATCAGCTGTTGCTCACTTGGAGAATGCTCCTGTGGAGTGCGCAATCACCTGACCTGGTGGTGCCAGTCCTTGCCCCATCGTAGGCCTTGGCTATGCACTGTCCAATCCAGTAGGCCACTAGGTCTACAGAGCTCTCTTCGCGATACACACAGCGAGTCTGACCTTCGAAAGGGAGATATATACAGAGAGCTTCTCCGTATGCCCCATCATGCCAGGTCTGTACTTTAGGGTGCTCCGGATTGGAGCAGAATGAAGGCAATATAATTGGCTGGTCCAAGTGGACAACAGAGTTCACCTTGCGGATAAAGGATGGATCCCTCCTCAAGGTGCCCAACTCTTGCTTGAAATATGAAGAGTTCCTTCCTAGCCGACAATGCTGCTAGTTCAGAAACCCTCGTGGCCGAGGTTCCCCAAGGGGGAAGGCCACTTGCTCTGGTAGAAAGTGGGGCTCTGTTGTTTTCCATGGCTCAAATGGTGGTTTAGTCAATGCGCACAGCACCTTGGAGAAGACTCCGTGTCAGGAACCTGTGCCTCTATTTTGGGAACTTGTGTCCGACTGGAGGTGCCAAGGGTCGTACTCTGTTGGCGGAGGCCCATTTGGAAATGTCTTCCATGGGTGACTGTAGGTGCGCCGTGTTGATGGCCCCTTGCCTGAAACCTAATATATCTATGTTCTTGGGAAACCTAGCGCCTCTAATCGTCTGTGTTCAAGCTCTGTGCAGTCAACTGTAACCATGTTGGTTCTAGGTGTAGGATGGGCCCTAGGTGCGGCAGATCTGTTCTCAGAGGTAGCTTCCACAGTGTACCAGATCCAAGAACCCATGGTCCTCTTGGCTGGTGGGCGGTCACGAACGCCACTTCTGTCCTGTCTCTTCTGATCTTGTTGAGCGTCCTCCCTAACAGAGCTGTGGGAAGGAAGGTCCCGCTGCTGGGTCCTGGCATCCAGACAGGAACCTCTCAATCTGATGGTTCACTGAGCTCATTAGTGGGTCCCATACAGGAGTCTCGAGAACTTGTGTGATCTGAGTAAGGATTTCCTCGCTCCAGGCCCATTCCCCTGGATTCAGGTCATTACTGCTCAGCCTGTTTTCCAAAGGCAGGTGATGCTGTGGGCTGTCTCACTGCTGAGGATGGAAAAAGCTGATGGTCATGCCCTCCAAGTTTGATGGTATTGCCCACCATTCAAACTTCCTCATGAGTTCTGCCCACGGAATTGAGTCTATTATTGATATTATTAGGCCGCCGCAGCCCTTGCTGTCTCAGTCTTTCTGTCCCCGGCATCTTACAGCCTTCTCCCCAGCCTTGGGGAGCACTGCCCCTGAAAGTGGAGCCACCACAAGGGCGCCAAACAAAGGACCTTAAGGACCTTTAGGTCCCCCATGGTCTCCTCTGTTGAGGATCACAAATGCTTTGTGACAGACAAAAGGGAGCTCCCACCTTTTGGAACATCCCTCTCTGCTCTGATGATGTTATCAAAGAAAGCAGGAGAAAGGTGCAAAAGTCTGCGCCTTGACTGGCTTTTTAATGTCTCTGGTTTCTCGCTCTGCAGAGACTGAAGATACAGGCTTTTCTGCCACTTCCCAAATGGTAACCCAGCAGCCTTCTGAAAAGCTCAGACTGGAATAGCCTGGATGAGGAGGGCTGGGTCTCTGCCTCATCCCCCAATCATTTCCCTTCTTGCTTCTCTGTATTTCCACCCAAGGAAGTGATGGTAGATTTAATTTCGGCCTGTCAGAACTAAGGTAAGTGGCATGGTTTCCCTTCTTTCTGGAGCCCCTTGGAGAATGACCTCCCCCCCCCAGCTCCTTGCTTGCATCCATAGGTTTTGGGGTTGTGCCGGGGCTGTTGCCCCACCCCCCTGGCTTCCAGTGTCCTGCAGCCATTGGTTGCCACCCCAGGTCACTCCCATTAACGGCCAGATCCAGGAAGGGCCCTTGTTTGCATGCGTTGTTGGGGGTGTGCTGGGGCTGCCACCCCGCCCCCCTGTCTTCCAGCGCCCTGAAGCCCTTGTGGTGCTGCCCAATGGACTCCCATTAAGGGCTAGATCCAGGAAGGTCTTAGCTGAAAATGCGAGGGAATAAATAAGCTTGGCGCCATGCTGGCTAGGCCCTGCAGTGGCTGCAGCTGGTGGTGAAATTGTGGCTGTTGGGGGTTCTATGGCAGGAGCCAACCTGCCCCTGTAGACCTGTCGCCCCCTTCCCACCCCAAGGGCCTGGACTTCGTCCCTTGGTAGGTGCTGGCGTGCCTGCTGTGGGGCTGCTCCCAACGCGGTCTTCCCTCACTACTTGAATGAGCCCACCACATGAGGCCCTTTGTGTCACCTGCACCGCCAGCCCATTTCTTGGCTGCCTCCTTCGGGTGCAGGGGTGAGCGGGAGCCTACTGGCTTCAACCGCTTGACCTGCCCACCGGCATCTCTGCCTGCTGTGTTGGTTTCTAGTTGTGTGCTGCTTCCATGGGCGACCTGTCCTGGTGGGAGAGCAGGAACCCATAGGCTTCGACCTCTCTGAGTCTCCGACGCCATCCGCAGCCTTCACGCTGCCAACTCATACCACTTGCAGGGTGGGGGGGAGAGCGGGGACTGACCAGCTCAGTGCATTCGGCCGGCCCCACTCTGGTGGAGCTTCCCTCTTCTGACTGGCGTTGTCTGACCCCCAACTCCTCAGGGGTAAAGGGCTGAATCTCCACAGGGACCTCTGTGGCCACTTTTCCACCCACCAAACTCTCGGATGGTGGGAGGGGCCATCCAACCTTTTGGCATCGGTGTGTGGGGGGGAACGGAAGCTTGCTTGCTCCGTTCGCCCAACCGGATGGCCTGGCCATGCCGTGCCGCTGGGTCCCTGTGCAGGCTGGGGATGTAGAAATTGTGCTCTGTTCCTGCAAGGGGCCCCCTTCGCCATGCCGCCAGGTCCCTGTGCTGCCTGGGGTGGGTGTAGGGATTGTGGCTGAAAAGGGGCCCGTCTGTCCCCATGGACCTGCCTCCCAAATGCCTCCCCAGGGGCCTCCACCGGATTCTTGGAGCTGGCCAGCTGCATCTACGGGGCTGCCCCCCCCAGGCCGCCACTCTGTAAGAATAAGCTCACCGCAGGGGCTCGTCAGCCCCTTCTGTTTTCCGCGTCGATTCGTCATTCCACGGCTGCTGCCTGCCCCTACTGCTAGTGTTCTCTTCTTGGCATGGGGGGGGGGGGGCAGGAGCCCAATGTCTTTGACCACTCGGGGTCCCTGGTGCCGGCCACAGCCTCCACGCCGCCATATTGAGCCGTGTGGGGGGGGATGTGGGAACTGGCCGGCTCAGTGCGTTCAGCCGGTCCCACAATGGTGGATCCACCTTCCTCGGTTCGGAGCAGTGGCGCAACTCCCAGCTGCTGATCTGTCTGTTGCCTGCCTCCCGAAACCTTGGGGGCAATAAGCTGCTGCTGTACAGATGTCTCCGTTGCGGCTATTCCCTCTCCTCCCGGAACCTCGGAAGGTGGGGGAGCCCGAGTCTTCTTCCTCCTGTCTGGCATCTTCGGGGTTCTCCAGCTTCCTCGGAACCTGGGAGGGAAGGGTAGGTCTTCAGACATAGACCTCCCTGCTCTGCTGCTATCTAACTTTAAACTTCTAACTTTAAACTTTTCAAGTTTTAAAATAGTTTTTCCGGCTTGGAGCAGGAGCTCCAGACGTCCTACCGTGCGCAGGACTATGCAAGAACTGGAGAGGTCAGCCTAGGTCCCTCCAATAGGAGCCACGCAATAAAGAAATTTGCATAGCCTATCCAAGCGAGCAGAGGCATGACCTAACCACTTCCTGGATGACTTCCCCCCCCCACTGGAGAAATATACAATAAACCTTGACTGTATTCAGTTGCTTGATACAACAGCAACCCCCCCTTCCTCATCCCATCCAAGTTTCTCTGCACCCTTTGCCATCTTTTTCTCTTTACAATTCACAGAATCTCTTTTTCTAATTGTATCACCCTCCCCCTTTCTACACTACATGTCCCAACAAAATTTATGGGGACCACAATATCCTTGATATGTTTGCATCTGCATCGGAATTCCTATAGAAAAAAGACAATTGGTGGCAAATTACAATAGAAAAATAATGGGCAATGAAAGAGTTAACCACTCCTACCCCATGCATTTTCCCCTGCTTAAAGAAAAACTCATGGAAATACCCCTTCATGTTAGAAAAGGTGTGTTTTCATATTTCACTCAGCCCTTCATTTTTCTTCCTTCAGTTTCAATTTTCACTTTCTTTCTTCTGTGCCATTCTTACAGATGTAAAGTTTCTGGAAATTTTGAAAGTATGGGGGAAAACATTCCCTCTTCCCCCCTTCCTACTGATGTATATTCAATATTCACTTTGTATTCAATTCTAATTTTAATGGCTTTAACACCATAAAATGCATCATTCAGAACTTAGCATAAAACATTTTAGTATTTGAATGTTTACGTTTTACAAGTATAAATGACTTAATTTTCTATAAGCACAATATATACATATGTACAGAACAACAGAAAAGAGAGCTCTGCAAACTGTTTACCTCTGTGCTAACTTAGGTTATATGTGTGTGTGTGTGTGTATCTTCATTTTTGCCACTTGAGAGGTTGACAATAGAAAAAACAGCATTTGTAGTAAACAAAATAATGCTTATGATTTGCACAGAAACCATCTCATACAGATAAGAACTAAACTTTATAAAACTGAATCTTTAATATTTCATTATCTATATACTAATACTGAAGTGGCCCCGTGCATGCGGATATCTAAATCCACGCTCCGGGGCCACCTGGGGGGCAGGGAGAGGTTTGTGCACACGTGGGGCGGTCCCCACGTCTGCACAAAAATCCTAAAGTTGAAAAAAAGAATCGGGGGGATGTTTAAATCCCCCCGAAACTCACAGAGCGTCCCCTGCGCATGTGCAGGGAACGCTCTGCGACCGCCGGTGCCGCCGCCGCCGCTTGGGAGGGAAGCGGTGCTGACGGGCTACCGGCCGGTCAGCTCCGGGTCCGGCTGACTCCGCAGCCTCTTCTACCTGCACAACGAACTGGGCAACATTTACACCCACGGTGAGCTGCAGTGACTCCCCTTCACCTCCCCGGCTCGGCTCCCGGGCACCCCGATCCCGACGCGCGCCAACCGCCCTTCCCTGCTTGCCCGCCTGTCTGCAGGGCCCTCCTCGCCATTGCACCGCCTGCCTGCCTGCCAGCCACGCTCCCTGGCAGAGAGAAGGCTGAGAATGCAGCGGCCGGCCGGAACCCGGCACCTTTGCCTCTCGCGGGCTCCACCGACCAGACGTGCGTGGGGTGGTCGTGGTCGTGCGTCTCTCCCGGCCCATCTCGCCTTATTTCGAGGCCTGGATCGCCCCTCCCCAAGGATCGGGAGACCCCCAAGACACACAACCCTGCTTCAGCGCGCCCCCCCGGCCAGGTCCCCTTGCTTCGACCAAACACACACACACACTGCATACACGCTTGGCCCCCCGATTCCTCCAGCCGCCCTTTCTGCCTCTCAGGTGCAGAAATCCGATTGCAATCCAGCTAGCGGGGGCGGGGTAGGGAGCCGAGTGTCCCCGCCCATCTCTCAGCCACCCGCCTGATTTCCTCCAAGCCTCTTACAGATCGCCAGGAGAATCCCAAGTGTCTCCGCACCCCACCCTTCTATGCAGACGGGCAGGTCTCCCAGGCAAAGTTGCCGAGTCGAGGGTGGCTCTCTAGATCTGGAGGCTTCAGTGTCCTTTTGCTTTGGAGGGCAGATCTGACCCTGGGCATGGATTCGGTGTGGTTTCGCAGGAGAGTGGCTGCTTGCTTAGAGAGAGAAGGATCCGGGCTGGGCGGTCGAGCACCTGCTTGGGGGGGTCCTCTGGCCACCTCTTCCAGTTTAAAAAAAGGACCCCTGGCAAAGATGCAGGGAAGGGTCACAGCCTGGGGAGAGCTGCCGCCCAACAGAGCAGTCTGCACTCAGTGATGTGGACCAGGGGTCTGACAAACCGATTTGCACATTGTGGTGTGCCCAGAGTCCCTATCCTGGGTCCTAGGTCACATATGAGTTGTAGGTTATCCTCAGTTCACATATCTGAGGTGCCTGATCCAGATTGTGACTGTGGGACCGGTGGGGAAGGGGGTTCAGCCTCCCTCCCCCCCCATTTTCCTGAGTGGAAATTGTGCTGAGGGTTTCAGTGTTCGGCCTGTAGGGGAAACACAGGAGCTTCCTTAAGGGGCCACAGAACACACCGCTGGGAGCATTGCAGGTCAGGGAAATTGCACAGAGGGGTAGACTGATGCTCCTGTGCCATGGTCATGGTCCAGACTGGACATCCTATACTCAAATTGAGCAATTTGGAGCTCCCCCCCCCCCCCCCGCGAGTTTCGTGGGTCTTCTTTCTTGTCTTTCTATAATGACAGCATATTAATTGTGGACAAATTAGTCATGGTTAAACAATATATATATATATCCTTGAAAGTATTGCATCTGCCTATAGCATACACAGGACTTTTTATATATCTAATTCTAAAACATCCCATAGAGTGTGGATCAAAAAAGTCCATAAAATGAAGCCAGGGACAGGGAGGATTGAAACTCCCAAAATTAATATAAAAACTATCTGTAGCTTCAAGAAAAGAATGATCACCGAGACTACATTATGAGATCTCAGTGCCATGGAAGGGGGGGCCACGGGGGGGGGGGGTTTCTTAGACAACCACAATAATACTGTCCAGCCTTCCAAGCCTTGGTTTCTGTAATTTAAGTCTGTGCATGGGTGGGGAAAGGGTGGAACTAGAGGACAAAAGAGCTCTGGAAAAGGTCCATCCCTCTCCTGTAACATCCTATGGTGGAGGAGGGCTTGCCAGGAAAAAGTCTGGTGGTAATTAGTCCAGGTTTGGCCTGGTGGCAGCCACTACACAAACGTTGCCAGACTTTGCTTGGGGAGAACATAAGAACATAAGAGATGCCAATGTTGGATCAGGCCAAAGGCCCATCCAGTCCAACACTCTGTGTCACAAAGTGGCCAGAAATACCAGGTGCCATCAGCAGGTCCACCAGTGGGGCCAGGACATTAGAAGCCCTCCCACTGTTGACCCCCCCCCCCAAGCACCAAGAAGACAGAGCATACCGGGGGAGGGAAATTGAGGACAATAGGGCAAATAAAGGTAGGTTGGCTGGTGAGTGGGAGGAGAGAAGGAAGTAGGAAAAGAGGACTGCTAGGGAAGGAAATAAGGAAATAGTGGTAGAGGGGGATACAGGTAGGGTAGCCAGGTCCTACTTGTCTGCCGGCAGGGGAATCACTGTGCCTTTCCGGGAGCTTTTGCCACACACGCAACCCGGAAGTGACATCATCATGCCGCCAACAACATGCGACATAGTTTAGTTTTTGGGCAAAACTCTATGGTTTGAGCCCAATTTTACCATATTGCCCCAAAACTAGAGTATTGTCAGTAGTGCAATGATGTCACTTTTGGGTGATGTCGTTGCACCAAATCTGTGGGCATCTGTGGGTGAGGTTTCCCCCACCAGCCAGCTGGCTTGCAGTGGGGAGGAGCC